TGGATTGTCAAAAAAAGAACTAATAAAGTTGTCTCATGGCGGCAATGAACTTTTACTATTATTTCAAAAATGAATGAAAAGTAGCCAATTTTTATATTTGACAAATTTTTTCAATATTTATAAAATGACAAGCAGATCTAGCACGAATCCAACAAGACTCAGACACATGGTGATTGCCGTTGACCCGAATGAGATTCAGAGACTCACGTGAATTTTTAGGTCTGCCAAACAACTTTATAACAGAACAATCTCCTTATTGATAAAAGTATTTATCTATTGATTGTATCTTAAACACATTGATCTATCTGTAGATTGTTGTTCCTTTAGAATACATACTTCTTCACAATGTTAACAAACTTCGGACTTATACCTTGACTGCTATAGTCACCTTTCTTGTATCATGGAAGTTTGTTTATAAAGTGCTATGATTGAGGCCTTGACAGAAAATCTGTGAACACAAATTCCTGATAGGCTGTATTCACTGGTATTCAATTCACTCAAATTACTACATGTTGTGATACCAGAATAGTGGTTATTGCAGTCAAGATATAAATCTGAAGTTCATAATAACTTGACATTGTGAAGATGGAACAAATACTTCTCATACTGACCATAGAAAAATGCACATTTTAAGAACTGTTTTGTACAAAAAAACAATGTCAGTAGCAAAATACCAATTCAAATCAATGTAGGCTGCCTAAAAGTCATTCTTTAATTTCAAATGATGCTGTGGAAATAACATTTTTTACTATAAACATGACAACCCCCCCTTACCCCTCAAAATGGTGTGTTTTGCTTGCTCAGACTCACATTATAATAAAAGAATACTAATTCTGAGTATGAAAAAAAAAAATTTCAAGTCTCAAACTAAGGGTATTTATTTATGGTGTCATAACCAAACAACATAATCCCTGTATATGACGATAAATCCTTAAAACCTAAGTAATTGATCACTACATTATTTTATTTATCTATTATTTGAATATCTTAGATATTAGAATATTAAAACAGAACTTGAATCATGTTGTTACTAAGAGTTTCATGCTATGCGATCTTCAGATAATGTAAATATTAGATATTATTAAGAATTTTGAGTTTAATATGTAGGCTAAAGGGTGTGGTCTTAATGAAGTGTGTATTTATAGCATAATAAAGATGACTCATTTAAGACCTAATAAAACCAATCTAGTATAAATAAATGATCACAATAACACATTTCCCACATTCCCACAAAATATTTTGTTGCTACAATTTATTTCTATCTATCAGTCTATTAGTCTGTGGGTATGTCTGTCTGATTTAAAGATATTGTAATGTAAAGTATTATAGACTAAAACTAATGTGTTTCAAAACATCACTTTTGCATAGTTTCTTAAATATCACTAGCAGCATTTACTAAAGTAATGTCATAATGTGGTAAGTTTTAGTGGAATTCAAGAATCATGCAGATGTCTGACTGAAGATTGGAATAGTGCAGATAGTGAAATTAATATTATCAATGTCCCCAATATATTAAAAAGTTTTAAAACACCAAAGTGTAAAACCACTTTACAATACTTTTTCAACTGATTTTTATATGCCCACATGAAATTTTTGTCTTTCCACAATTGCTAGTAAACACTCTAGAAGGCCCAATTCTTAACAGATTTTGACGAAACTTGGTAATATTATTCAGTATAACGCCAAAAAGTTCAAAGAAGTGTAAGACTGAAAGTTGAATATTTCATACTTGTAATTGTTACTGTACTGCCAAATATTTTTTATTTAAAATGTTTGAATTTGACAATTTGTTGATCAAGGGATTTTCATTTTCTGAAATTTGTGAGTCATTACATTTCATCTGGTTTTAATAAACTTGGTGTGATTTTGGCAATATCTTGGAAAAATTCAAAATGTTCGAAGAATGATTTTTAGTACTTGCTGTTGAAGTTTTTAGAAAAAAAAATTTGTTCAGGAAGCTATAAATTTCAATCCAATTTTTGCGTGCTTATTGGAAGGTCTAATATCACTTTGAATTTAACAATATTTGAGTTCCAGTAAAGTTACCACTCATTTATCTGGTAGGACAAAAATTGCACATTACATTCAGCTAATTAAGTTTCACAGTTCTACAAGATGTTGGTGCTTGAGGCTGAATTTAAAAAAATAGAATAAATTCTGAAAACAAAGCAGTTGGTTTGATTATGGAACAGGCAATAACAGGTGTGGGTTTCTTATATACTTGATATTTTTCAAACAAACATTCCTAATTCGGCTGGTTCACTGTTCACAATCATTATCTAGAATTATCCTCGTTATTTTTGTCAACATTAAAAAGACAAAGTTGCATCTTTATAATAATGAACATTTTCTGTTAATTTCAGCTCAAAATGATACTACTATAACTTATACATGTGACTATAAATAAACAATGGCAGCTGTAACAGATGATCACTATGACTACATCTGGAAAGGTTCGTATTTTTATTTAGAAGATTTAGATAATATGATGCAGTGGTGGCTCCATCTTCTTAGAACTTGGGGTATAAATAGGGGCAGACAGACTAATTGTGAGGACAATGACTTGGATTGAGATTTCAAATGGGGAAGTGCATAGGTCATAGCCTCAAGTTTAGATTTGTAAACCGAATTAAGCCAAATGTGAAATTTGTAATGAAACAATACGTGGTAAAACGAAATAAGTGAATTATTTTATGTCAATAGTGTAAAGATATAGGTTATGTTTTGTGCTAAGTAATTTCCACGCTATTTGGATCAACTGATGGAAAGTAAAAACTTTGTGCAATCTTTTGTGAACTTTCTTGTAGTGGTACTGTACTGTACCAAATGATAATTGAGAAATTAAAAGATATTAATGTACAAAAAAGTTAATAAAAATGTTTTTAATTTACTGAGTTTTACTAAGGGCAAGTTTTTTATAGAACAAGTTCTTCCATTACATCCTTCCAACTTTGGTCTATGTTTATGCCATGTGGTGTACTGGGGATGAAGTCTTGGTTTTGGCAGGACTCTTCATGGTCCCGAAGCAGGTTTGGGCCTGTGTTTCACTCTGACTCTGGGAAAAACATGTCCCATTCAATCTCATCTTAGATGATCTCGAAATTGTATTCTGGTGCTATAGTAGTGGGTGTATTAGTATTGATCACGGTTGATCTTGTGGTTCTGACTGAGTGGGATTGCGCATCAAACGATGGTACCCAAGTGGTGGGTAATAGTGGTTTGCAGGCATATCTTCTTCTGTCTTCGTGTTAGCATTGATTGTCTTACTATTGATTTTCCGTTTCATGCTTTTTTACCGTTTCTATTTGATTCAGATGCGGGTTTTGTAGGTTTATTCTGACTGAGGATCTGCTTCGTGCGTCCTTCAGATGTGTTTGTATAAGTTGAAACGTTGTTTAAAAGTATTTCCATAATTTACAGGTGGCTCGATCCATTGTAATCTAAACAGTTGTTCTCATTTAATCCTCCAGGTTGTTTGGTTGCGAGGAAGTGTATGAAACTATCCTCCTGACGTAAGCGGCAGTTCAGTGATATGATGATGGTTTGGGGATTGTGTCCTATTTGATTAAAATGATCCGAAATGGATGTTTCCTTTTTGTTGCGAATGTTGCTGAGGTGGTTGTAAATGTTTGTTTTCTGCATGTGTCGCTTGTTTGGCCAACATATTGAATCTTGCAGAGTTTGCAAAATATTAGAAAGATTACATAGGGGGTTTCGCAGGTTAAATGGTGCTTGATGCGGCATAGGCGTTGGTTCACATGTGATCGTATGGAGGTGGTGGTTATTAGGTGCCTGCAAAGGGCACAATATTTGCCACGGTCCGATGGTGTGTTGGATAGTCTTGATTTCATGAGAATATCTCGTAGATTCTGGTTACATTTATATCTGACTAGTAATTTGTAATTCAAGAGGTGTTGAGTCTCCGAATTGTTGTTTAGTAGATGGAGATTATTGTTCATCATCTTTTTGAAGTTGGTTTTTGGTAAAAACGTGGTGGAAAAGGTGATGGTTTTAGGTTTGGTTTGTGTCTTGTTGTTCAATCGATTGATCTGGCTTTGTCGAAGGCTACATTGATTATTTCTTTTGGGTACTGTCTTCGTACAAAGTTTGTGACTCTTGCAAAGTGATAGCTATCTGTGTTCTGTGGTACTTGAAATACGGCAAATGCGTAAGGCTTGGCTGTAGGGTAAGTTCTGAAGTAGGTGAGGCAGACGTGTAGATATGCAAAGCTGTCGGTTGGTTTGGTGTAGAGTTTGGTTTGTAAAGAGTTATTAGAGTCTCTGTAAATGGTGACATCTAAGAAGTTGATGGTGTGGTGGCTGTATTCTAGTGTGAGTTTGATGCTAGGTAGATGGATGTTGACATCCTCCATGACTTTTAGGAGACTCTGGACAGTGGAGGGCCACAGGAAGAAAATGTTGTTTATGTATCTCCACCAGATGATTGGTTTTATCAGAGATTTGTTTAGGATGGTTTCTTCGAAATTGGACATAAAAATACATGCAATATTTTGGGCCGAAACTGTTCCCATACTACTTCCTCTTAGTTGTAGGTAGAAGCGGTTATTGAATTCAAAGCATTTCTTTGTTAGTATGAAGTAGGATCCAGGTGTGTACTGATTGGTCCTCTCGTTTCTGCAGTGCTGTTTTGCAGGTGATCATAGCTAGGTTTGTGAGAATAGAAGTATATAAACTGGACAGGTCTGCAGTGCAGAGTATGGTGTTTGGTGGATTTGGAATCATCTTCTTTATAAAAATCTTGATATTGGATATGGTTTTGATGATGTCTTTTGTTTTTGGTGTAGGAATGAAATTGAGTCTATAGGATAGAGCTTCCAGTTGGGTTGTGGTTAGGGTATGTTTCGAAAGGTTGATAATCAGGTTATTTAGTTCTTCGTTAGTTGGTTTGTGCCTCTGGAATTTTGGATTTTATCTCCTCTATTTGGTTGTGTATAATGGAATAGAGTGTATCTTTTTATCTATGCAGTTCTGTAGAAACGTAAGGTGGTTATCGCATTTGAGGGAACCTATGTGTAAGATAGGGAACCAAAGTATCGGGGAGGTGTTTCCCGATGGGTTGTTGATGGAGGAGAAATAAGTTTCGGTTCTACTTCAATCTGTTTTTGGCCTTTTGTTGGTGTTGGAATCTTCCATAATGGGTGGGGTTGGATTAGAAGAGAGGCGGCGAATGGTCGAGACTCTTAAGACAAGATGGATCTGCAATGGATGCAAGCCGCCGGAAAGAATGCGACAAATGTATAGAGGGACGACAGGAAAACAGTTTGTCTGGGCTTTATAGCAGGTTGCCGTTACCAGGCAAATTATTTCACACATGCGTTTAATAATTCCATTTGTCAATATGAAGGAATTTTTTATACAATCTGTTACACTTATAATCTCTGCTTTAGTCAGTTATTGGGGGAATATTTACTGGAATATTTTACTTTTTACGGATTCCTCTATGCATCATTGAGACCCTGACTGGCGAGATCTTATACAGAATTCTTCCGCTATACATTTTTATATTGAACATGAAAATGTTGTCATTGACCCTGTTTCGGTTGAATTTGTTACATTTTACAAGAACATTTCATATACTGGTAGATATTGGTAGATTTAGCTAAAACATGGTTTTGAACGCTATAAAAGGGACAGTTGTCAATTGATTTTGATGAAACTTAGTGTGATCATTGGTCAAGATGAATGGTTTTGAGTTATTGAACTACTTAAAATATAATCGGATTAAAAATCAATATTTTCCTTAGCTATGATATATCAAAATATGGTTTGTGAGAATAATAGAAGCCATAGATTGGTGTGAGGTCAAAGTGAATCTAACCAATCAAATCATTAACAAGGTCTGACCTTAAACAGTGATTTTACGTCAAATATGTCTGTTATTTGCAATGCACATGAATAAATGACTTAAAAAAATTGCATGTTTCTCATTGTTAATTCTGTGAGTCATTGATGGTTGGTTACGTAGCCTACTGGCATTCCCCAAATAGGGCCCGCGGAAATGTTGCAGAGGCCTGATTTAGATCATGACTTGTTTTATATTTCAGTTGTATTAGTGGGTGATTCAGGTGTTGGTAAAACTAATTTATTATCTAGGTTTACTAGGAATGAATTTAATGCAGAAAGTAAGAGTACCATAGGAGTAGAATTTGCTACAAGGTATGAGAATAAAATAAAAAGATTCTGCTTTAATGACTAATTTTTTTTAACGGTTTTCCTGGTTTAATAGTTTGGCTATTTGAAATTGCAATTCACTTTTATAAAGCTTAAGTTTAATTTAATGTATTTGTCTGCATAATAATTATGTTTGTTAATTATTGTTTTACAGAAATGTAAATATTAAAGGTAAAACCATAAGAGCACAGATATGGGATACTGCAGGTCAAGAAAGGTATAGGGCAATAACTAGTGTGTAAGTATGAGTATATTAGTGTCATCATCTTATAGATATATCTTTGTCTTACAAGCCAATGAACTAGTGATTTAATAATTTGATTCCAAATGTTTGGTGAAAATGCAAAAATTGGTTCATTTCAGGGAAATGTGTAGGGTAGCATGATGAGAAATCATTATTTCTGCCCTTCAGTTAAAGATGGGTTCCCTTTTTTTTATTTATGAAAATGAGAATGCTAATACTTATATGAATAGAAAGTAGAGGTGTTCTAATGACTTGGTAAAATACCAGTTTGTCTCGCGTGTCCATAATTAATTCATAATTAGCTAAATTATTAGAGAATTACCAGCAGAATTCCAATGAGTGACTGATCAAAAAAGGTCAAAAAGTCTTCTTTGTTTATCCAGACTGTACGTACATGAACATTTATGATTGGTTAAAACTCTTAATTACATGTAATAAGAACATAATGATATGATTAAAAATACATAATAATTCATTAGAAACACCAATTAATCAAATAGTTTGCTTAATTTGACACTAAAAAAAAAAGGGAACCCATCTTTAAACAAAATGTTATGTTTCCTTAAAAAAAAAAACACTACAAAATGAAACTTAAAACTTATATGCTGTGTATATATTATAAATGAAAGTTTTCAAGGATTTACTAGAGTGTCTTTGTAAATCCAAATAAAAGTTGACTAACCAATGGTACTAAAAATAATAATGAGACAATATGATTTTTCAAGATGTTCAAGTACAAATAATTGTCTTTGAAACAAAGGAAATCACGATAGGATGATTGCAAGCAGTATATTTATTTATGTTATATCTTTAACATTTTGGGGAATGAGGAATTTGTTCAATTTAATGACATTTTTCAGGTATTATTTTTCAGGTATTATCGTGGTGCTGTAGGGGCGTTGGTTGTATATGATATAACTAAACAGTTAACATTTGAAAGTCTGGAGAAATGGTTAGAAGAATTACGAGAACATGCAGATCCTAATTGCAGAATTATGTTAGTAGGCAATAAGATAGATCTGAATCATCTCAAAGAGGTTGTGCAAGATGAAGGCAGAGCTTTTGCTGGTAATTCATTCTATTTTTGCTTCAAGAAGTTACTTTTAAGAAGTGTGTATCTCTTTTCTATTGCATATATTGCAGAGCAATGTAGAAATATTGAAATAGATATAATAAAGTAGAACGTCTGTTTTATTATCTGTTTTGTACAATTTTATTGTGGTTTTTTGCATTTCAAGAGTTTTTTTCAAATGCTTACTAAATCATATTGATAAAGGTCAAAATACTAATATGCATATCTTGTTGGCAAAATTAGTTCTTAATTAAGTTAAATCTCTATGTTTGTCAATTACAGAAAAAGAAAGAATCTCTTTTGTTGAAACATCTGCATTAGATTCAACTAATGTTGGTGAAGCATTTAATAATCTTCTTGTAGGTAAGTGTATAGAATGGCCATTTTTTGTTCGTTATTCATAGTCATACATTCTCATAGTATTCAACCAATTTTTATACGCCCACATGAAATGGAGGGCATATATTGCCGTCACCCATATCCGTCGGTCCATCCATCCACAATTGCTCGTAAACACTCTACAAGGCACAATTCTTGACTGATTTCGACGAAACTTGGTATGGTTATTTGTAATCACTCAAGGATGAGCCCTATTGAAAATCAGACGAATCGAAAAATATTTACAATGAGTTATTGCCCTTGTTCATGAAACGCTCGTAAACACTCTAGAAGGTGCAATTCATGACGGATTTAGATGAAACTTGTATGAGTGTTCGTAATCGTAAGGATAAACCCTATCAAAAATCAGAAAAATTGAAAAATTGAAAAATATTTAGTATGAATTATTGCCCTTGTTCTTGAAAACGCGTTCAATTTTTAGCTCGTAAACATTCTAGAAGGGACAATTTTTGACGGATTTTGGCGAAACTTGGTTTAGGTGTTCGTAATCACCCAAGGATAAACCCTATTGAAAATCAGAAGAATCGAATAATATTGAGTATGAGTTTTTGCCTTTGTTCTTGAAATCATGTTAAATTTTTAGTTTGTAAACACTCTAGAAGGCACAATTCTTGAAGGATTTTTAATGAAACTTGGCTTGAGTGTTTGGTACCAGCCAAGGAAAAGCCTATTGAAAATAAAAAAATCAAAAAATATTTAGCATGAGTTATTGCCCTTATTCTTGAAAACTCGTTTAATTTGGAGCTTGTAAAAACTCTAGATGGCATGATTCTAGCCGGATTTCGACAAAACTTAATTTTATTATTCAGTACCGCGCTGAAGATTGAATATTTGTCTTCTTGAGTTTTCACTTGCTAAAGATTGAACACGTTTTCAAGAACAAGGGCAATAACTCATACTCAATATTATTCAGTATCGCCCTTAAGAGTTCAAAAGAAGTGTATGACTGACGGTTGAATATTTCATACTGGTGATTGTTACTGTACTGCTAAATATTTTTATTCAAAATCAAAGCTGCCAGGCAAGCTATCTTAATTCATCTGAATATCTGGCACCATGGTTCTTGACATCTATTTTATTCATTTTCAATTAACTTTAATGTGTTCTCTCAAAAATTCATATTTAATAGTTCAGTCTCAGATGTTGTTATCTGTTTATTTCTGATGAATCACACATTTTTTCAGTGGAAATGACGTAGGACAAAATCCATTTTTTACGTTTTTTTTTAATTTATGGCTCCAATTTTGATTATGTTTGACCTTTTTATGGTAATAAGTTCGCGCTTATGGCTAGAAGATAGCAATTCAAAGTTTTTTCAATTTTGGCTTTTGTCGCTGACTTTTTTAGCATCAGTTTTTTAGTTTTTTCACTTTTTTTCTAACTTCTACAATTTTTTTTAGATTGGTATGTAAACTTATAGATAGTTAGACATTTTGATTGTGAACTAAAATCAATTTTCAAAGTTTCGATATCACTTCCGTTTTAACGTTATTGAAATTTCAACTTGCAGATATTTGAAAAATTCTAATTAGTTATAATTGTCCCTATAAAAATGTTGGAATGAATAAATTTGACCCGGAAATATAGAATCAGACGCCATCTTGATACAACCAATTTTTACAAAACTCAAAATGGGGCCTCAGGGGTAAAGCCGATGTGTGTGATTTTAGTGTCTGTAGAATCTGCAATCGATTGCTAAAAAAATATGGAAAACCGATTTTTGAATTTTGGTATGGATTTTTTTTAATTTCCGGTTATATTTTGTCGGTAATTGTCAAAGGCTTATATTTTGTTACCTTGACCTTTAGTGACCTTGTGACCTGCACTAATGTTGTGGCCCCATATGAGATCTACCTAAAAATATATTTACCTTTGTCAAGCGATGTTAACTTCCGGTTCTAGAGCCATTTGAAAATCGCAATTTTTATCTTTAAAGAGCTCTGTCATGTGACCTAATTATCATATGACAAAATTTATTAATTTCCCTAATGTGTGCGATTTCTCCTTTCTGAAAATAAATCACACTTAATATATATTGATGAGTATTGCGTTTTTTAAAATTTTAAAATTTTACACTGACGTCTATAGTAACTATACATAATTTGGTTTTTGCCGTATAAACACGTGATAGCAGACATAACAAAATTTTGGGGGTGGGAGTGGCACGAAACCTACACATGAAGCCTTTAATTTTGTTGTACAATGTTTACATCCGTTTTAATAGCAATTTGAATATTGCGAATAGGACAATAATCAAGCAGAGTGCCAGGAATTGTCTTTAATGGTTGGAACATGAATTCCTATATTTCAAAATTTCTAAATATCGAAGACACTGAGCCATTCAACACAAAAGAAAAAAATCAATTCTACAAAGTACTTTTTAATTGTTTAAAAAGAAATTTAAAAATGTGTTAGATTTGTATCGTTGACCAGTGAAAAGTTTTAAAAGAAACATAAGGGGTATACAGGGTTCGCTCGCACAGCCTTGAAAAACCCTTGAATTCCCTCCGTTGCCTTGAAAAACCTTGATTTAAAAAAAAGTCTTTGAAAACACCATATAAAACCCATTTTCTCTTGAAAGGTCCTTGAATTTTGAGTTGAGTCAAATTGTGTATATTTTTAACAATTTAATAAGCGGACATTTTTATCTGAGTAAGATTTATCAACAGAACAGCCGTTACTGAAAATAATAAACGTTGACTTGGAAGTATTCAATATAGATTACATAGTGGGGGTTATGAAGCAACAGCCATGGGTCATGTAGTCTTGTTTGTCATCTATTATATCTACTATCTCCACACACCATGTTGATCGATTGATTATTATGTTACTCTTTATATAACTTGTAAGGTCACGTCTCGCGATGTCTATTTACTTAAATTAATAACATGCTTTTATTTTTCACTGTATTTGATCAATTCCCAATTTACGAGAATTTTAGTGAATTTTTTCGCTAATTTGGCAGAATGACCTGTTCGAAAAAAGTAATATTTCAGAGCTGGGCCCCACTGGGAAATGGTCTCCTTGGTAACATGTACCTCTTGATCGCCGCCATTGTTCTAATCTAAGTTTATCGCTATGTCCGGAAGATGTACTTTTAACCGATCTTGGTTACTAATGAGTGAATTTAGTAAATGGAGGTTAAAGATAACCGAAACCATGCTCGCTGTTCAGTTTGTGACAAAACTATAAACCTGGCAAAAATGGGTCTAGTGTTTTGACTCAATTAATCAGATGAAGAAGGTGGAATATCAAAACAAGAATGATTTTTGCAAATTCTTTTAAGTTCTGATGAACTGACACCTTTAATACTCTCACTTTGGGTTGATTGTGTTTCTTTGAAGTTCATTGAAGTTGATAATGGATGTTGCTTTTTGCATTCTCTCTTGGATGTAACCCTGGAGAACACATATAATACTTAATGATTTAATTTTCTTCAAAAAAATTTGATAATTGAAAATCACAACAAGCTCCATCAATGCTGCGGTTGGAAAACGTCGTAGAAGGTAAGAAAGGGAGTAACAATATTTCCTAGCCCAGCTACATGTTTCTGACATTAGCAATAATCAAACACCAAAGGAAACTTTGAATGATTTACCTTACTCCCCTGAAAAAAAATCAAATGTTATTTTGCTGTAAATTGGGTATTTTGCAGGCAAAACAATCGCAAATTGTTTGCAGAGGGCTAATACAAAATAAGGGTAGGCCATAGATCTTATCATTAATTTGTGAAGCAACGTGATGATTCAAAAAGTAAACAAACAAAAAGTATCTCTTAGTCTTACTCATGCCAACTCTTCTTGGCTTCCATTGTTAAATTTTATTGCAAATCCTTCAATAACTGAAAGTATGTCTTACTTACGAAGCTCTATTCCTTTCTCTTTATTTCTTTGGTTGTTGCACCCTTAACAGCAACATTTTTGATACATGGTCGTCGATAACGTCCACTGTCGCCATTAAACTCCAGTATCGTCACACAACTTCACATGACAAGCGTGGACTCTAGTTCTATTTATAACTCTATGGTGTATACATATCATAGAACATAACAAAAAAAATATCTAAACAATAAAATAGTCAAACCACACTAGTCTAAAGACACATGTCACAGGTTTAGTAGATGTACAATAATAACAATAGTGAAATAGGCTTCCATACCATACAAGAAAAGGCATTTCCTTCCCCCTTAAAGTCAATAATAGTAATAATTTTTGACACATTTCAGATATTTTTAAGACACAAGTTGAAGACCCACCAAGTCCAGCCCCACCTAAAGAAAGTGCTAGAAGATTAGAACTTCCACAAGAAACAAGTAAACCTCAATCAGATTGTAATTGTTAAATGTATTTTAAAGACTTGATTTTGAAATGATATTGATACACAACAATGATTATATCTTGGATTTGGACTTTGTTACATACTGTAATAATATATTGGCAATTCTTGTACATAGACAACAAATTGAAATCAAACACACATTTGAACTTGTACAATGGTTTTTTCTTTTTTGAGATCTGAATTTCTTAACTTTAACAGAATATACTTGCAGCAGAGTTTTAAGCTAATATGATCATTTTACCCACCCAAGGCCACAATGACTTAATGTGAATTTTATGACTCAGGCATACTATGCATTTCCAAACATAAACTTTCCAAAAAATAAAACATTCCTGAAACTGAGTTTTTTTTTTATGTGTGAATGAAAATGGATAGAGTATATAAATGTATTTTTTGTAACCTTTGTTTAACACAAATATGTTAAAAGAAACTGCAAATGTCAGAAATCCATAAATTTGTTTCTTTAGTGAAATGTATGTTAAAATAACTACAAATAGATGTATATATATAATAATATATGTAATAGAAATTCATGACCAGAAATGTCAAAAAAATTTTGGAACTTCTATAGCCTTTTAAATTCTACTTTTAAGCCTACTATTATTTATGTTAGCAACACCAAATTTAAATATTCACCCGAGGATTATGTTTAAGAAATTATGTTATGAGATTAAAAGTACAATATAAGCGATTGAAAAATTCAATTTAAACTTAAGTAGGTTATTTTAACATCCATAGTTGTTTTTTTTCATTTGCAGATTTTTTTTACACATTTAGGTTATTCTGGTTTTTATTTAAACTAGATTATTTTAAATTCTGTGTGCAATTATTATTTTGTTTTGAAATCAATCTTTTTCTTACAAATCAGTGAACTTTATGCATATGTAATATGAGAAAGTTGTGAAGAATTTCAATGAACTAACTAATGGTTTAGACATGGGAGATAATTTTGCTCTATGTGACTTGACTAAAGAAGATTTCTATCTACATCAAACATTTTCATTTAATAGTAATATTTATCAAACTAATGTTATTAACTTTGCCTTTATAAAACAGCCAAAATAATAAATACTTATTTGATTTTAAATATGCTATGATTAGTTTGTAGTGTTATTTGACTATTTTATGTTACATAAGTTTATGTTAAAATTTGTGACAGGTAATTCTACTACTTCCTGAAAATTGTCCATGACTACTACTTTTATTGTGGAAAGTATAAATGGCATGGCATGCTTACTCTTCTGGAACATCTGATGCCACTAACTAGGTATTCCTTTTATATATATACCTACATACATACACCTAATAACTCTATGTATTGCATTAGCCTCTTCATAATGTCGAAGGTATTAATTGGATCATATGATATCAATACAGCCAATCAGAACCAGAAAGACTGTGAACTAGTTGGCTCCTGGTGAAACATGTAGGATGAGCTTTCTGATTGACAAGCGGACAACCCAATTAATTTGCTACTTTTACCAATGTCAAAGATTCGTGAAAGTACCTAATGATGTCAAGGTATTAGACAGAGTTTGTAATGCTTGACATTGTGAAGAGGATCTTAAATCCCTTCCAGACAAGAAGATATATCTCTAGATCTTGAATGTATTATATTTCTCTAGTGTTAGTAACAGTTCTATTATTAGCATAATTTATTTGAAATATTAATATATAGATTATGTATCCTATACTAATATTAAACATACTATGTTTTTTTTAAGTTTGGGACCAATTTTCTTTTTAAGTATTTTTGATATATTCACTATTTTGTTTGAAGGAAATGTGATTTTCAATACGATTGTAATGCAGATCAAGATGTTGTTACCCATTGTATTTTTTCTATGGTTTGCTTTACTCTCCATTAATGAGCTGAAGAAGTTTTTCTTTCAAAAATGGCTCAACAATAATTTAAACAATCCAATCAAAGCATAGTTAAAAGGAGAGTGAGTAAAGTACTATAAACCAATTTTCATATCTGATTGGCAAACATAGCATTTAATTGGAGGGCAAGTAAAATTTACCACAGAAAATAGAACATCTAATAAAACAATATGAAAAAAAAAACTGAAGCCTTCCAGCTAATATATAAATACACATAAAACATAAAACACAGAAGTGTTGTGTAATGAGATTAGGATACATAACAATAGGTTTGGTTTTATTATATGCTTTAGTTTTTCTACCATTATAATATATATAAATAGATCAGCAAATTTCTTCCCATGTGTGAGAAATTTTTCTTATTTAAGCTTTATCTATATATTTCTTTTCTATTTTAGATTCCTTCAGTTCATTTTTTTTTTAAATTGTAAGTATTGAAATGATTAAAATAAAACTTTTGTTTTGTATTTCCTAAGTAACTTCATTCTTTCAAACTAATTGAAACCACTGGATTTGCGACCTGCACTGTATATTTTTGTTCAGTATTGAATATACAAAGTGTTTATTGAATAGTGCACTGTTGATTGGATAAGATATGGTGATTCTAACTTTGAATTAAATAAAAGAAGATTATGATTAATTTAATATCACTTGCTCAATTTGAAATAACAACAGTTTATTCATTATTGTTTTTGGATACAAAGGATGTTTTTTTAGAATAAACCCAGGAATATTATATATATGTGATGAAATGATCTATTTGTGGACATTATTTTTATACGCCCTCATGAAATGGGAGGAGTATATTGCCGTCTTCAATGTCCGTCCGTCCATCCGTCCATCCACAATTTCTCGTAAACACTCTACAAGGCACAATTCTTGACTGATTTCGACGAAACTTGGTATGGTTGTTGGTAATCACCCAAGGATGAACCCTATTGTAAATCAGAAAAATCGAAAAATATTTAGTATGAGTTATTGCCTTTGTTCTTGAAACGCTCGTAAACACTCAAATATAAACCCTATCGAAAATCAGAAAAATTGAAAAATGTTTAGTATTAGTTATTGACCTTGTTCTTGAAAACGCGTTCAATTTTTAGTTCGTAAACACTCTAGAAGGCACAGTTCTTGGTGGATTCTGACAAAACTTGGTGTGAGTGTTTAATGGATAAACCCTATTGAAAATCAGAAAAATCGAATAATATTTAGTATGAGTTATTGCCCTTGTTTTTGAAAACACGTTCAAACTTTAGCTAGTAAACACTCTAGAAGGGACAATTCTTGACCGCTTTTGGCAAAACTTGGTGTGAGTGTTCGTAATCACCCAAGAATGAACCCTATTGAAAATCAGAAGAATCGAAAAATATTGAGTATGAGTTATTGCCCTTCTTGAAAAAGCGTTCAATTTTTAGCTTGTAAACAATCTAGAAGGCACAATTCTTGACAGATTTTAATGAAACTTGGCTTGAGTGTGTGTTATCACCAGAGAATAAAGCCTATTGAAAATCAGAAAAATCGAAAAATATTTAGTATGAGTTATTACCCTTGTTCTTGAAAACTCGTTCAATTTGTAGCTCGTAGAACTCTTGAAGGCATGATTCTTGCCGGATTTTGACAAAACTTGGTTTTATTATTCAGTACCGTGCTGAAGATTGAATATTTGTCTTCTTGAGTTTTCACGAGCTAAAGATTGAACACGTTTTCAAGAACTAGGGCAATAACTCATACTCAATATTATTCAGTATCACCCTAAAGAGTTCAAAAGAAGTGTATGACTGAAGGTTGAATATTTCATACTGGTGATTGTTACATTACTGCTAAATATTTTTATTTAAAATCAAAGCTGCCAGTGGGCGTATATTATCTTTGTCATCTCTGTTGTGCTTCTCTTAATCGACATAAATAGGAAGGATAGAAACTAGAGTTAACATCCAATCTTTGCTGTGGTCTTTGATGAATGAATGGCCTTTAACTTGGCTCTTGATGCTTTCTGTCTATCAAAAATCATAAAATAGTAATTTCAACTATATTATTGTCCTGTTATTTGACTTTGTTTTGGCTTACTGCCTTCTTGTGTTTCTGAAGAAGGCAGTAAGCTGAAACGTCAAATAACAGGACAATAATATAGTTTTAATTGGTTTTCCCTTTTTGGGAATTTGTGATATAATTTAATAGTAATTTCTCTGAAATTTCCTCTTTTCAATCTAAAATTTTAATTTCTTCAAACTGATATCAAGAAGGTATCTTCATGGACTAGTGAAATATTAAAATATTCTAAAAATCTCCTTTTCATATTAATTATTTCTAATTGTTATAATTTTTGTATTTGAATTGTTTTTAAATAATCCCCAGGTTTCTTTATGACTACTAATTGTCTTTTCTTTCAGACCATTTCTATTGACATTTATATTGAGTTTTTTTTAAATATATGATTATTAAAATAATGTTGTTTTTGATTTCAATAATTATCCAATCTGAGATTGCCAAGCAAAAGGAAACTGTAAAAGTGTCCATACCACTAAAATCAACTATTTTTTGCTTTACTAAGTCAAGGGCAATAACTTACAAACTGTTTGTCGAAATATCTCGTCAATTTCATCAAAATGTAATCAATATTCAGATATATCCAAATCGGATAATAAACTGACAGGCAAAAGAAAGATTTCACCGACTTCATTTGGCCACACACCAAAGACAAAGGCAAATGTGAGATATATGATGATTGATTTATAAACAGAAATCAATTTCCTTGAATTATAATGAAAATGCATTGTAATACCGATATTCAATTCTCCGCAATACACAAAGGAAGAGTCAAGGGGTCAAAATTAAAAATCACACAAACCAAAGTTCATTGTAAAAGTGCATAAAGAGATTATTCCATGACAGTAGTCAGGCAAAACGTCATCAATAACGAGTTTGGCCACCCTTGGCACGCAAACACAAGCCTCCTCATTGACGTCGTCAGGCGGCGGATAACGTTAATCCTGTTCCACCCCATACCATGACGCCTCCACCTCCAAACGCGTGAACTTCTGCGATGCAGTTTGGCGCCAGTCGCTCTCCCCTTCGTCGAAAAACTCGAACCCTGCCATCGTTCCTGAACAGACAGAACCGACTTTCATCTGTAATGAGCACCCTCGCCCAGTCACGTCGCTGCCACCGGCATACAGTTCGTGCCCATTGTAGTCTGCGTTGACGATGTAGACGGGTCAACGCCATTCCTCGGAAGGCTCGTATACCAACTGAACGAAGTCTTCGAAGGACTGTTCGGCTGCTGATGACATGACCTAGTGTTGTTGCTGCCGTCGACGCCGCCGTCATCCATCTGTTTCGAAGATGAATCCTCCGGATGTAGCGGTCGTTGGCCGGTGGTGTCACCCACGGTCTTCAGATCTTTGTCAGTCTTGGATCTGTCCTGTCTGTTGGAGCCGGATTATCAAATTGCTGATGGTGGTCTGGGAGCAGTTGAAGGTTCTAGCTTTCTGTCGTTGAGAAGGCCTCATATTGGCCATACCGCTCGCTATATCTCGTTGCGCTTGCGCAAGTCTTGGCATACTTTTGGTGGTTTTTCCCTTACTGAATGCCTGTTCTGTATTTATACCGAAATCGTGCACGTGCATTTGAACCAATGTCGCAAAATCGCGTTTTGCACGGTTTTATGCATGCACGATTTGGAGAGTTGCGTTCGATAATCTGCATTTTGGTCATGATAACGTTGCATTAAGGCAAATGTTTGCTGCTGGGGTTCAAACCTGTACCAGCTTTTTTGCTTTTTATACAACGATTTTTAAAGTGAAAACTTCCTTTTGCCTGTCAGTTTATATATGTACCATCAAGCAACGATCTGTAGTGCATGAACAAGTCAAATTTGAAGCTTTTAAAACGCCAGCATGAATATGTGGACATCCATCGGTCCAACCACCACATCAAGATATAGCATAGACTATGTAGGGGAGGGGTCATCAAAAAGTAGCTATGTGCAATTTTATTGTGTTCTGGAGTTGGGCCAAGCTGATTTTAGGGTTGTTTCCCTTTGTATTCATTTCGCATTCAATTTAGCATGTCCTATATCAAAGAGAAGAGGAGATTATTTGTGAACAATGTATTCTAATTAATATTTGCATGTTTTACGATATTTCAACCATTTATATTTGATTTGATTAATCTATGATGCAGCATTTTCATCGATCCTAGCTATGATTGGCTATCCTCGTAAAAATGTCCTGTAAATTGTAATTTTACTCGTAGGCCCTAAGATGTTTCATCATTTGCAACATGTATCAGCTATGTATAATAGACTACTTTTATACGATGAAACTTGGTACTTTGTGAGATTTTGGTTTACGATTTTCTATTTTCTCGATAACAGTTGTTTTTTTATTTATTTCTCTTGACTTGGCTTAAATACATCAAAATTGGCTTGCTCCAGTTCAAACGATATTGATGGAACTAAGTATGCTTTATGTATTTTTGTACTAATTTAGTTTGATATTCGAAATATTTACTGAACGTTTTTTAATGCCCTTGATCTTAACAAAACGTCAACTAAACTCTTAGAAACTTGTCTGTAAACACTCTAGAAGTAACAATTCTTGATGGATTTATACGATACTTAAAATTGAAAAATTATAAGCGTTCACTTTTCAGCTCGTAAACACACTAGGTCTAGAAGGTACGGTGAAAGGGTATGAAAGGTCTAGAAGTAACGGTTCTTGATGAAAGGTATGTCAAGTCTGGAAGGTGCGATTCTTAATGAATTTTGATAATACTTGTTTTGATTTAACTATAGCTGCCAGTAGACGCACATTACCTTGCCCGGCAAGCTATCGTGTATATCGATGCAAATATGTCTGACATCTACCTCTTCTTATTCAACGCTGCAGCATTAAACTTATTCCAGATCGCATCGAAATGCCAAAAGCCGGATTTATTAAAAAAAAAAAAAAGGGATTTATCAAATCTGTTTTTCTAAGGATGTTATTCCTGGGGTTCAGGTTTCATTTTGAAAGTTGACTATCCATTACACCAATAATGAAAAAACCCTAGTATTCTATGCCATATATTTTATTTTACCTTCCCAGTGCCACACTTTTATTATAAATTAATTCTTTATGCACCATTCATTAGTCAAAGAATGTCCCATGAGAAATTTCTTGTTTCCACCAAAGATCGAAACCCCGTCGTGTCTAAATATTATTTTGGCTTTTATAAAACGTGAATAACAAACAATTTGAAGAGAACAACTAAGTACGATTGATGGAAATATAACATAAAGTCTTTTAAGCGAAACATCACATCTTTGTGCAAACACGTGGTAAAGAGACAATCGATAAAGCGATTATGTCGGCTGCTACAGGTCGTGTGCCGGAATGACGACCATATTGAAAATTGACAAACGAAATGAAGTTTAAGCATTGTGTTAGGTAAAAGAGAGCTCTTGATTGAAAAAGAAATGCGTGATCT